TTCTGGAGCTGTTTGCTTAGCTTCCTCAGGAGGGACATGAAGATACAATTACAAGTAGTGGAAGAAGTAGCTTTGAGTGCAAAAAGGGCACACAAATACGATATAAATAAAATCCTCAACTAAAGACAGCAGTAACTGGCTCCTTTGAAACCATTACAAGAGGCAGTTACAAAATAAACATGGGCCATGTGAGAGGTTTAACTGCATCATAACAAAACCTCATCAAATTACATGACTGTGTACTTAGCATCGATTTATGATACCTTGAATAATGGCATGAGGTTTGATTATGCAGAGAGTGCAGTTTGAAAAAGAAGCAGTGTTTTTTCCAATGAAGCTTTTGTCACCAAAGAAAAAATTTGCTTCCTGTAAGTCAAAACAAAAAGAAAGAAATTTTACTCAAAATATTTTGAAAGAATAGAAGGTAGATAGATACAATGTTACTCTTGTGCTTCCTTCTACCTTAAATTTAGAGCCAATTATTTCACTTAAAGAGCATTCTTCAATCTTTCAGTCTATTAATCCTATGAATGATGAGCATCTAATTTCTCTGTACATTATCAATACTGACTCAAACATTAACGCTATGAGAATAAAGGAAATGACCACCCACTCAAAGATCTCTTGATTGTTAAACAAATTCTCTTTGTCAGTACTATATGGGAAATGTATAGAGAAAAGTTCAAGGAGAATGTGCATACTGATCAATGTTTGATGTTGAACTGGTTACTATATACCTGAACTCACTACCGACAACTGTTTTTCATTTTCTTAACTAAAGGCAGTGGACTATGTGGAGTTAAAAAAGAATTGTATAACTATTAATTTGGCAAGACAATGGTACATAATTACTTAAAATGTTAATTTACCACCAAATAAATGTTCTTACTCTTTCAGCTGCTAGTGGTGAATCTGAACCATGTGCAGCATCTTTTGTGGTGTCTACAACAAATCCCAACATAGTGGTTAAGAATAGGCAAGTTATTGAAAATGATCTAAGATGTATAGCTAACAACAAAAGGCAACTGTTGCAGTAAAATAGGAGTGTAAATTTTAGGGAAGGCATATCAAGGTCATCTTTGTCATCAAAACTGGTACATTAAAAAAAGAAAAAGGGTTTTGACCCTGGGAAGAATTTTAGCCATGCCAAATTTTCTAAAGAACCCTCAACCCTCCCTGGTTCCTACCAGACTCACATTTGCCTTTATTTTACCTTCTCTAATTGTCTTATTTTAAATGTAATTTTGGTTATTCTGTATGATTTTATGAATCTTTACCACATGACTGAATACATACCTGTACCAAATTTTGCTCTGATTGATAGAGGAGCCTGGATTCTGGCAGTTGCTGAGTCTGTTGGTCCTAAAAGTGTCCGCCACTTTGTAATTGCATTAGCACCTTTCAACTCCATGGCAACTACAGGACCACTTTCCATGAATTCCACTAAATAGCTAAAACCAGAGCCATTAACCATCAGATATCAGAATGCAGGAAAATTACATAATTTACAGACTGAAAAATTAGATACTGCCATAGGCTCCTTTCCATAATAAAGCTTGACAGAATAAAAGCTCTAATTACATTTACTTCTGTTAAAACTCATTACTAGATCATTTTGTTTCTCTGACTCAGCTTTGAAATTGATGGCAATGGCTGCAGTCTTTAAACAGTCAAACTGACCCCACATCTATAAGTCTGTTTTTTTAATTCTAATAATCAATTTTTTCTTGCTGTTGCTACAGCTTTCATTATAAATTTTACACAAGAACTTGCTGTTATTATAATAATATCAACTGGAAAATACATGTAACACCTAGCTGATACTTTTTCTTAATTATATAGTAGACTTACTCGAAAAAGGGTTTCCCTTTGTGCTCTGAATAGAACAGTGATGCTTCATGCCTACAGAGTATGGAAATAAAAACTGTCAGGATGAACTTATATTATACTGTTTTTCAGTCAGTCACTAAATATCATTAATACTGAGTCTCCTGACCATCACTTAAATTAGTATTTGAATCTGCTCATTATTCAATGTTAGAATGAAAGTTTTATTCAACAAAAAAGTGTTTCTTGAAGTTTATCATCAGATTTACCAAAAGGTTTCCTGCACGTTGTTGTACTGTACATCTATGCAGTAATAGATCACAGATGACATCAAAATGTGATAAGAACAAGAAAGTGTACACAAGATGCAGTTTATGTCCTTAATTACCAAATTTTGACGTGTTATGTGATCAATAAGTGAACCCATGAAAACACGGAATCTATTTGTTTTACAAATAAATAAACAAAATTTTGTTAATTATCTCAGCTGTGAGTCTGTCCTCTTGTACATCATTTATAAGAACCAATCAAAGCATACAATTCAGCTTATTATACATCTGAAATTTATCTATAATAATAATAATAATTGATAGACAGCAATGTCCCAGATTCACCTTGTCAACCTAACCATCTTTGCTTGACAAATGAGGAAGCCTTCTCCATGGATAATGTCAATTATATTCCCTTAAAATTTTAATAAAAGGCTTTTCAAACCAGTGATTACTTTAAACTGACATGTGTCCCTCATTGAGAACAATATAGCAGACCTCACCATTGTATAACTGGGTTATTATCACATGGCTGTTTCAATCAGTGATACTGGAAGGATGACATGTACCGGTAGTCAGATCAAACCTTCTTTTTCCCGCCCTTGTGACGAGAAAAAAACTTTACCTCTCAATTTCATAACCTAGCCAAAAATTTACCATGATGATCTCTGTTATTCTATTTATGCACATGATGCTTTTGAAAATTCTGATCCCAGCAGTGTGCTAGATGGATGTCGCACATGGACCTTGTGACGGCTTTTCAGATTTGTAAAGAGTCTCTGTGGCTCAGTGATATGCACAGGAGCATGCAATCTAAGACTGAGGTATGATTCTGTGTGGGACTCAGAATCTTTTCCTTACCTATGCTTTTTACAAGACATGAAAAAAATTATTTAAACCTAGCTCCCCATTTATCTCAGGCAAGCTTAGCCTAAGTAGACCTTAAAATCATAAAAAGATGAACTACATTGTCAAGAAGCCTAAAAACAGATCTTGCCTCAGGAATCTCACCATGAAAATCTCCACATATTCTCAGAACTTAAAAGATACTTATAACAACATGGATTAAAAGAATAAAATCATGACATACCCATCTGTGAAACAGCATCTGGTTTTATCATAGCTAGTGTTCTGGAGGTAATATGCAAAACATGCATTTATTGTGAGTTACTTTACTAATATTAGGGAACAACAGCTAATTACAAAAAACAAATAAATTAAGCCACTCAAATTTTTAATAATATCATTATAACAAAAAATCTGTGTTTCAAACATGAACCATTAACTTTTAACTGGGGTTGTCACAAGAAGCCAAGAAATAAATTATTTTGAGACCAAGGATTTACTTACTTTTCATTCTTGTTTCTCAAAAGGTTGGATGTGCGTTCATCGGCATAGTCTGTTATTGACAACTGGAATGAGAGATGAGGAAAAAAATAAGGCACCAGTTGACAGTAAATAGTATGAATTTTGCAGTTCAAAACTGTTCAGGTCATTCATTCATTATATACTCCAAGTTACTAAGAGCTAAGAAGTCTGTGATAATGTCTACTGCAGTGGGCCATTGGACTTGAATGAAGACACAAATACATGCAAACAGCTTTTTAAAAACACAAGCAAAAATAACCACAAGGTTTGAAACTAACTATCAGTTTTGTAATTAATCAAAACTGTAGTAAAATTTGGTTATCACCAACCCAATTTGAGTACTAAAAGAACAGTGTGTGCTGCATGCTTGTAATCAGAGAGTGTAATAGGACAGTTAACACATCATGCCTGCACAATAGGAAAGCACGCATCATGTGTCTGAACTGTTGTCAAGCAATTTGCAAAGTTAACTTTTGTCTTTTTATGATAATGGGACTTTTTGTTGTCCAATTCCGTCAGTAATCATACTCATGCTTAACAAATCAGACCCTAGCTATATGATCATCCAATTTTGTTTATCACTCCGAAGGTTACAGACCAAATCAGAATCCCATCAGTCTTATACCATTATTTATCACTAAAAGGTACAGTTTTTATTTCTGAATGTTGCAAGTACCTGTCGAGAATGAATGTTGACGATGGCTCCTATAAACAGATGCTGAACCTGAAGACCATCTATCATGGATCGTTTCAAGAAGAGGCGACGATTTTTTATGTCATACTGCGGAAAAGACATTGTACAATTCAAAACTCGTTAGTAGCAGAGACATACAGTAGAACATCTGTACTGAGGTACACCACAAATAGATGCACTATCATCTGACAAAATATGGCCATGAAAAGATTCACATGCTCGTTGAAGCTGAGACCAGCGGGAAAAATGTGAGGAATGATTTAGGTTGTAACATTCAACTAAACGAAATCGTGGTAAAAAAGTTTACACTAAGGAGAAATCCCAGTTTTTGATACAACATGCGAATGAAAAATCTATGCATATATTGATTAACTTCAGAAAAGGATTATGTACACCGATTAAGTGTCATTCTTGCAGAAGAAATCCATCTCGTGTATCGGTGAAAAGTAAAATTGTAAATGGCATCAGCGTAACATATTCTCACTGATGATTACCATTTCCACAGATGAATCGCTTGGATAGTAAAGAAGTTGGTATTTTCTAATCAGTGAGGCCCTCGGGTCGTACCATTCGGCTAAAAATGCGTACCGTTCATCTGATGCTGCCTATCGATGCAAAAAAAATATATAGAAACTTAATTTGATATATTTGAGAGCAAAAAAAATCGCAAAAAAGCTTACCATGGTGAATGTTGACGAGCACAATCAAATCCAAACTTTCCTAAGTTTAGATCAAGCGCTCACTCTTGTTTTAGCAACGAGCAAGCCTCACTTTCAGGTATCACTAACTCGCCTCCAGTCTCCAGTGTTCACTCTTCACGTCACAGGGTATAGACGAAATTAACGAAGTGAGTTAATGTGTGGTGCACGTGTTAATGTTCTTCTTCTAAAAAGGGTTAAACGAACTTTTAATTTTTAAAAAAAGGCTTACGAGAGGCCATTTAGCACTTTTACTAGAACTACCTCGCGCGGGGTAATTAGTAAGAGTTAGAGCGCAATCAGTAAGAGATAGAGAGCAATCCTTGATCAATCCGAGCGCGAGAAGCTTAATCTATGATCACATGAACAAACTCTTGAATCTTATTATTATGACTGAATGCGTCAACTCAAATGGAGAGGAAAACTTTATTGTACTAGATGGAGGTCTTGGAACAGAATTAACAAGGGCTGGATTTAAAATCGATGTACGGTGGTGTAAGATATCTATCTTTTTCTATGAAATGACAATTCTTAACATTATTTTCTTTAAGCAAAATCAATAAAGAAGATTTAAGTCTGAAAGTCATCGGAGTAAAAAACCTTGGGGCTTTTAGGAGAGAGAATACATGCATATGCCAGTTGATTCGAAGACTTTTTTTTTCTCAGGATGATCCACTTTGGAGTACCAGAACTCTTATTGAAAATTCAGAGGCAGTGAAAGCTGTCCATAAAAGGTAAGAAACTTTGCAATTTACCGACCTAACTTCGTCAAAATGAACTTTTTTAGGTACAGGCTACGATCGGCATTTTGATTGAAGTTTCCCATGAAAATTCCAGCCCATGAGGTTCCTGCCCCCCCACTTCCCCACAAGCTAATAAAGTTTTGCTTGAGGTACCTTGAGGTGCACTGTAAATGGGTGTGTCCCTTGGTCCTCCCTGTTCACCACTACCCATGCCCTTGGCCTTTAATTCAGATTGATTTACATCACTAAAAAGAACAAAAATGGATAAAATTTTGTTCCCTTAGCTGGTATAGGAAACTGCCTATAGGTCTCTTAGGCGAATTATATTCTCAGTACATCCACTAAAAAAAATAGTTTTTGTTTCTTAGTTTCCTTGAAAGTGGGGCTGACATTGTGATAACTGGCACTTATCAGGTAATCAATCAAACATTGACCAGAAGGTGTTTTGTAGACCATTTATTTTGTGGATAATTTGGTATTTTATGATTGTTTATTTTCTTGAATACAAAAGTTTATGTTGGTCGTAACTTGATTTCAAAATGCTCACCCTGTTAACATTTGATTTATGTGTATGCTTTCAGCTCAGCCTGGAGACACTTCATCAACATTGTGATTTTGATGAGAATAAGGCCTTGGATGTAATTTACAGTAGCGTAAAAATTGCACAGGAAGCTTGTCTTGAAGTTAAAAGGTACTAAAGCTTTCGTTTGAATATGAGTCCATGCAATCAGAGAAGAACTATGCCAAAAGCCAACATAGGTTGTGTCTTGAATATGAAATCCTAACAAAAAATTATAATCAAAGAAGGGTTGGTATAAATAAATCAATTTCATGTGTGAAAAAAAAAACAGTTCACATAACTTCAGGTGTATACTATATGAATATCATATAACACCTTGATTAAGTTTCATTAAACTGTTTTCATGTTTAATAAAGTACATTGGCTGAAAATGAGTACATTTTCATGTAACATCAGTGCAAATTACAAATAGTGTGTGCATGCCTCCAAAACTTCCTCTGTCTTGAGTCTCTTGATTTTTTTTTGTTTACATTATTAACAAGTAATAACATGATTTCTTTTGCAATTTGGCGTAAAAAGGAAGTAAATTTTTCAAAGACTGCAAATTGCACTTTCCTTACAGGCTTGTGCAATTCTGTTGTCTTTGAAAAATTTACTTGTGCTTATTAACAACAAATTGCACTCAAAATCATGTTATTACTTAAAGATAAAAATTACCTTTTTTCTTTTTACTCATTGTTTATCTAGTAATAATTCTGAATATAAAAGGAGACTGCTGGTTGCTGGATCAGTAGGTCCATATGGAGCTTGTCAGCATGATTGGTCTGAGTACAGTGGGAATTATGTTGACAACATGACAATCAAGGTAATTAAGACCAGGGTAATTTATGATGGTTCTCTATAATATTTACGTAACAATTTGTCTAAGTTTGGCCATAGGAAGGAGACATTCACCTTAAACTCTCAAAAATGCTTTATATAACTTTCTTCCTAAATTAAATATGTTATAATGATTATCCAGCAAGTTGCTTTCCAATACAAAAGCTTTTGCCTTTGAACTTATCAAATTCTTCGTTATGTTAAATTTGATGTGTTCACAAAATGCCAATATTATATTATTAAATCAATCAAAGGGAAGGGGTGAGGAATTTCTTACCAGTTCTCAGGAATAAGCTTACCGCTTACTGCTATCTATGAAGAAAAATAGCATCACTTAATTTTTTTAGGAACACTCTTTGGAAAAAAATTTTTGAAGAACAGCAGCTTTTAAATTATTTTATTCTGTGATTTAGTTATACTTTTGTACTTTTAATTGATCTATCTCTTATCTCCTGTATTTTTATTCGTTATATTATCTCATAGTTATGCCAGAGTTTTTAACATCCGTATTGTACATAATTTTAGAGGGCAACTGGTTTGTTAGTATTTTTATACTATTTTAGTGCTACCCTCTTTAAATAAAGTCTTTACTTACTTACTTACTTGCTAATAAAAATTTTAATTTTCAATTATGGTTCATGCATGCAAAATAGATCAAATACTTACTCTTTTAACTAAGCAACTGATGGATTGGCACAGGCCCAGAGTGAAAGCACTGCTTGAAGCTGGAGTTGACATTCTAGCTCTAGAAACCATTCCTGCTCAGGTACTTTTATATTTTGGATGAATCAGTAATTTCTTATGGCCTAAAAATTAGAATAAACACAACATGATCAGAAACTGAAATTTAATTTGAAGTGATCAGATTGTGAGAGGTAGATTAAAAAAATGATGAGACCACACAGGCAAACTTAAGTCAGTACATGCTGTTCCAATAATTTCTCCTAGTACATTAAATAATAGCTTAGCTTCCAGTGAAAATTGATGTGTAAAACTGTAACTTTAACAATCATGTTGCATTCAAATGTGATCTCTCCAATTGACATGCTGTTCAGAATCTTCTGAAAGTTCATTCAGATAATTAAGCTGTTGTACTAGCCAATTGAAGTTGAAATTTTTGGGAACTGGCTCCATGTCGAGGAAAGGGTTAACAATAAAGGTACCATCTTTCTGATAATCAGTGTAATATTTTACCTTCCCTTAAGAAAATTGTATTCTAGTTCATATTTATTTGCTGATGGCCAGCACAGCACCTTCTAGTAATAAAACCTTTCCAATAACTTAAGGTTACCCTGATAAGTTGGTGGTCCTTTGTAAACTAACCTCTCTTACTGATTAATAATTTTACTAGAAAGAAGCAGAGGCTCTGATTCAGCTTCTCAAGGAATTTCCTACAGCAAAAGCTTGGCTGTGCTTTTCATGTAAGGTGTGTGACAATTTGACTACTGTTATGCCTAATGTAGAGGAACAGATTTGCTTTTTTCTATTTTTTTACTGTGCCTTTGATTTTGATATTGTCCTGACAACTGTAGACTGTTTATGATGTATGATAGAGGGACCATTTACAAGCATAATCATAACCATTACAATTTCCTCAAATGTGATTGGTGAATAGGCTGCTTTATATTTCACTAATCACTCTGTACAGTTGTAATCAGACAGTTGGCTGTAATCGGACACCTATAATCAGAGAACTGAAACAGCCAATCATACCAAGTCCACTCAGCTAAATCCACCAATCACAGGATTGATCACAATAACCACAGCAACAACCACTTGCCCTGAAAAGAAAACTGGGAAAATTTCAAATTTTTTGCTCTAGACGTTTCCTTACTGGAGATGTTTGTCCTAAATGTTTTTTTCTTTCGGAAATTGTAATTATTATGATAAATTGGTAACAGGACTTCGTGTCGTCCTGTTCTGTCTGTAATCATACTCGTGATTGACAAATCGAACTCCCGCTTCACGGTCGTCTGATTTTGTTAATCACTCGTATGATTACAGACTGAATTGGACACTGTTCTATTAGTGCTCAAATCGGAATGATAGTTACCAATCGCGTTCGCAAATTTTGTGATAGTTTTGACGGTTTGTAAAAGAAATTATAACGCGATTTCCCAATTGTTTGGTTCGTAAAATGTAGAACGTGTCCGTCTTGGAAGTGGACCTTTTCCGTTCACGAAGTCTGGTCCCTCTTTTTGTGCGTAAGCTTGACTAGACTCTTTCTGCAGCACTCATGTGTTGACTTCTTCACTATTTTAGAGATCTATTTGGGAGTTTTTGCTTTACGGGAGACATTTTTGGTAACGGCTAATTCGTCTTGTTCTCTCAAATCATCAAAGAAGTTTCTGTTGCAAAATTTGCTTTTGTAGTAGCTGTGGCTGTCTATTCAAAACGTTTTTCTCTAGCGTAGCTTGAATCATTTTCTGCATATAAGCTTCTAAACGGTTCATTCTGTTGTCAATAGTAGATTCTGATAGATTGTCAATAATAGATTTGAGGCGCTTCCCGTTTCTTAAGCTTTTTACGAATTGAGATTAGCTAACACTGAGGGATTGCAACAGGCTGTCATGGCTTTTGGCAAGAAATGCTCATAACGACCATTTTAAATCAGATAGTGAACAATGTCATAAAAGGCTACCTTTTTTACTCAGGACCATTTGTTACCCAATTCAGGATCATGGTCACCATCACTGTCGCCTCAACAGTATTACCAACTAGTCCTTAGCACTTATGATGCCTTTGCTGAGAACATGCCAGTCATAAGTAATTAGGTCTCTGTTTGACATGCAGGATGAAAGGCACACTTGTCACGGAGAACTGTTCTCTGAAGTTGTCACTAAAATCGTCTGCCAGTCAGCACAAGTAAGCTACACTCATTCAGTACAGTGTGATCACCGTCCGGATTATTTGTCACATTTGAAGTTGGCATTATTTGATATTAAACGTAAATTATAATTATTTCTTATTGCTAGATTGTTGCTGTTGGTGTGAATTGTTCTCCTCCACAATTTGTAAAGGTGTGTATTTAAATACCTGAATAAATTTCGTACCCAGATCCTATCGTGTTACTGAAGTGCAGGAACCTTACAACTACAGCAACTACTTGACCGCGGAAGGTCTGGATACGTGACTGTGCCTGAATAGCGACAGTTTGAGGATATTTGTTTCAGAGGAATTTAACTTGAGTTATGTGTTTAATGAACCTCCGCTTGGTGTAGCGTTTCCCCTCCCACTCCCCTGCCAGTAAGTTTCTTTTTGCAGTTCTTATTGCAGAGCATCCAAGGAAAGGTTGATCTTCCCCTCATTGTTTATCCTAATGGCTTCGACGGTGGAAAGTGAGTGTTGATTTATTCCATGTTATATTTTCTTTCTTTATCTGTTTGATTGAAAATTAAACCGAATATAAATCATTTGAATGTGGTTAATATATATTTGAAGGGATACTAGTCCGATAGTAAATACATTGAAGAATACATTCATTTCCATCAATGGTTACAGAGCTATTTACGATCTTGATGTGATATGGCAGAGGTATTCAATTAAGTGTAATCAGGGATAGTACAGTGGGAGATGTGCTTCAAGACACACCCTTGATATTCCATTTCTGATAAAATACGTTCCCATTTTGAATGATTATATTTTATCATAAATGGCGTCCCTTTCCAGTTCAGGGGCGCAGCCATAGGGAGTTCCTTTGCGTATGAGAATCACGAGTGATCTTCTGTGGGACCATCTACAACCCCAAAACGTTTTTAAGAAGCACCCAGAATCAGTTCTCTATCTCTGGACGTGTACACCGCTAAAAAGACTCATTATAATGTTAATGTCACATGACAGCAACGGTTCATACCACCTGAGGAATGCAACTGTAGTGCTTCTCCACCAACAGAAATTTCTATCCCTTCAGATTCGTCTGGGACGACGATGAACATCAAGTTTTATCTGGTCATGTAATGGAGTGGATAGCAGCTGGCGCTCGTTGGATTGGTGAGGGTGAAGTTGTGGGTACTTCCCTGTATTTATGTGATAACTTTTAAAACTTCACTTCCTTTCATGGTAAAATAGAGGGGAAATGTGCTCCAACTAGCTAAAGATACTTATTCAAGTTTCCATTCATTTGACCTTAAGGCCCCATTCTTCGTGGCCCGCCCTTCCCAAATTATCATGGGGTGTGTCTGAAATTGAAAAGGCGCGTTATGGATAGTGCGGATAGGAGCCCGGTTCCCTTAATGTTGTACGGTGAGCGGTAACCCTGCCTCTTGGCCATAAAGACTTCAAGAATGTTAGATCCTTCTATGTTTTCAGTATTTCTCCGTTCCTTATTTCCCCTCCCTTCTACGGGGAGGGGGGAGTACTTGCGCTCAATTGCCACGAGCTCACTGATCCCCCCCTCCCTTTAAGAATTAATGTATTCGCCCTCGTTTTTCCCCAATTTTGCGCAAAAATGAAATAAGATTTCACGGAACTCGCACCTTCAAAAAAAAACAAAAAAAAGAAAGTAGGTATTGATACCCCAACTCCCGTCTGTCATAATTCATGTGGAGGCGTTTAGCCCAACAACTTCGCCTCCAGTTTTCGCCAATTTATCCACCGACAAAATGTGTTTCACAAAGACGAAAGCATTCAAGGGTCGTGGATATCATTTAAAAAGATCAATAGTTAAAGCAGGGTGAAGGTGAAGAGGTGGTTTCCTTCAGAAAGATTTCAAGGTATTGACTTTCGCTCACTGCATCAGGTATTTCCTCTCCTTGGCATGAAAATGAACATGTCAATTTTACTGTGCGCTAAAAGAGATTTTTTTCTGGGAACGTTTTGTAGGAGGATGCTGTGGGACGCAGCCGAAGGACATAGCCAAGATAAGAAAGATAGTCGAAAGTATTGGGTAACCATCAACAGATTCGATTTCAGTCTCGGACTTTATCAAGGCCCTTCGGGTTTTACGTTAATTGCTCCCTGCAAATCTCAGGGACGTGGCGTAAGACGAATTGCTGACTGGACGCGAATCACTTCTCTTGTTAGTGTCAATGGATTATTTCAGCCAATCGGAAACAAGAACAAGTCAGAAATTTATAATGGAGTTCTTTTTTGCTTTTTGAGTGTCGTAAAACCAAAGTAATCACAACGACCAATCAGAGGGAAGGAAAATACCTTCAAAGAGCTTAAAGTTTTGCATCTGATTGGTTGAGAGTGGAGTTTCCTAGACCAATCACAGAGCGAAGTAAAGCAAAAAGAAAATTAATCCTGGATTACTTTTGACACTCAATATTGAAAACTACCCAAAACCTGCCTTAATGTAATCGTGTTGAACAACTCAGGTGTCCAATACACTTCGCCACTTCTCCTTTCAGAACAAAGTAAGGCTGACACAACTGAAAATTCCGATAATTGTTTTATTTGCGAGAACGTCCTTGCCAGTATTTGAGTAAGCCAACAGAATATGCACAGTCACAGAAACCAGTTCCATGCACACCAATAACCAAACTTGGTTTTTATCAGATTCCTGACAAGATGCACGTAAAATTATTAAGCACACAAATATCTTCTCCGATTAAAAGCTCTTATGTTAAAAAGAAAAACGACATTTTGAGCAGTAACTGTCCCGGGATAAAATATCTCTGATTTGTTTTCTTTTCAATCAGGCAATACCAGCAATATCGAACTGCTGCATTCTGCCGTCATCGATATGAAATGGCTCGCAAAATCTTTTCAAGGTTTCTGAATTTTTTTTCGAGAATGGAATCAACCAATCGGTAAAATGAAGAATAGATTTTCGGTAACAGGACGATCCAGTCATTTGAAAGCAAAGAAATTAATAGTGACCGTTTTCCCTCTTGAGAACATAGAATAGATTTCTCGCCGGTTGCCAGGAGTTCTACCGAGAAGCTTCAAGACCTCGTTCAATTGCTGTACATCGCATCCAGTGTCTGCCTGTAGTACGATGTGATTTGTTTCCGTCTGAGCTTCATGGCAGCGGTAACAAAAACGGTGTCAGGCGTCCACTGTTCCGTGACAAGGGTCAACCGCTGAGGGATCTCGAACTTCTCAAGACGCACTGCAAGAAAGAGAGAAGTAACGTGTCACCTTATACACCTGAACCGTTTGAAACGGGTTTCCTTCCTTGAATGCATGTTAGGAAGAGCTCCACTTTGTAACCAATGAGGCCGGGAAACACAAGTGGACAGCCCTTTTTGACAGTACGCTTGGTATGTACTACCGACTTCACCACAAGCCTCTGCGATCATTTCAAATTCTCAAAGTACAGTGGAAACTCCATTTACGGTGCGCCCTTGGGACCAGGGCGAGAGTCCCTTTAATGGTAGTTTCCCTTCAACAGAGGAAACAGATACAAAGACAAAATGAACATTTATCCGAGACCAAAGTTTGTGTTCCCAGAACGGAGAGGTTCCTCTGTAATTAACAGTTGCGTGGCTTCTGCGGGGAAAAATTCTGTCGCTAGGACTAAACAGAAATCTCCATGCCACACAAAGCGAATTATTGCTGTGATATTTTTCCTTGCGACTTATGGCGTTGTGTTTAGCGACCTGAAATTTTCTCAACTTTCTACCGGGACGTGAGCGCGCTCTTAATTCAAGTGACTTACAAGCTTTGCCGAGAGCCTGCAGATCGTTGAGGACTGCATCCTGGATGGCTCTATTTCTGCACTGTTCAGCCATGTCATCAGTATGCACGCCGAGCGATACTGCTAGGGCCTTGAGCTGTTTAGGGCGTGGCACCACCAAGCACACCACAAAGGTTTGACAGCTCTCTGCATACACACACAAAGCTTCCACATACTGACTTTGCGCAAGTGCTGCTTCTACTTTGCCAAGAGACACGTACTCTCCAATCTGCAGCTTTACAAGATCTTTCTTGCGATCTGGATGGGAAAAGAAACAATGAAATGAAAACTTTAGCCTGAAGTTTTTCAAGTTTGTCTTTTGTCATCAAACACTGATTCCTCACCTATGATTTTCAGACATCCATCAGGATGGAACTCTCCGATATCACCAGTATGGAACCATCGCATACCGTCTCTGTCTTCTTTGAAGTCTTCAGCCGTTTTCGTTGGATTTTTGAAGTAGCCACGGTTCACAACTGGACCGCCAATAACAATCTCTCCTCTGGGGTAAGGTTTATCCGTGACGTTGTAATTACCTTCACAATGTAAATAGTGTTAAGTTAACCCTTTATGTCAGTATGCATAATCTCCATACTGTGTTCTATACATATCTTAAGGTGCTGACAAGGAGAATTAGCTTAACGATCCAGAGCTTCTGTAGTTGTTGATCACCTCCATTATTCTTATGACCTTAGTGTGTGATTCAGGGGTGACATTGTCTCTCTTAGGGGTTACAGGGTTAACGATTGTTTTCAAATCTAAAAAGGGTCAAGGATTTTTAAGTGCATTTCGATTGAGAGACGTTAAATCAAAACGAAATGATCACAAAACCAGTCGGATGAAAAAGAATTATGACAGGGTGCCCTTAAAAGAAAGAGGGAAAACCACACGGTCTTAAACGCTAAGAACGCGAATGACGAAGAAGCGGCGGGTTTAAGTTTTACATCTGATCGGCTGTTGATCAAATGTCGTCATGATCATGTTGAACCTCAGTTTGTTGAACTCAAAATTTGTGGTATTCGACGTCTTGAAGTAGGGTGAGCGCATGCGCTGGCCATGTCTTCGTCAAGTTTTTAGTTAAGAGGGGTTCGCTTTTCATGCAAAAGTGAAGAAATTCGCGACATTTTCAGTTTACAACTCACCTTCCTCCCAGTTAACAAGCTTGATTTGGGCTGAAGACACAGGAGGCCCAACACGACCAGTCGTCTTGTCCCATGCTACAATTAATCAATCAATCAATCAATCAATCAATCAACCAATCAACCAACCAATCAATCAATCAACCAACCAACCAACCAACCATTCGGCGAACACAGAAATGTCAACTAAGCGTTATGTGTGTAAATCGACTAAGAAAGATGCAAAGTTCTTGAGCTTCAGGAGAGTCTTTTTCTTTAATCATCCCACAGTTGCATCAAATAAAATCTTCCTTGATCTGAACAATAGACACAAGTTACTATCTTCCTCAATCTATTCACGACCTTTCAGATTACTTACCATTGCAAACAGTTCCTGCTCCACACACCTCAGTGAGACCATACCCCTGACCAACAGGACAACAGAAGCACACATTCATAAAGAACTCGGTGTCCTCGGACAAAGGGGCTCCACCACTAATGATCTGGCGCACACGACCCCCTAGTAGATTTCGCATCTTAGAGAAAAAGAATCTGGAGAAACACATAGGGACTGATGTCATGGAAAGAGTCAGGGAAACAGCACAAAACCTTTCCCATAACCTCTGTGAATCAAAGCTGGGCAACAGTATTGAGAAATAAAAAAAATTAACAACTACTCCATCCATCAGTGGAACACGATCAGGAAACATCTCAACCGCAAACACGATTGGGAAGAACTTTATCACAACTGTTTTTGAATATTATTTGAAGTCCCTTTACTTACATCGTGTTAATTCCTCTGGGGCCCCACCCTAACCAATTCTTTTTAACTCCTCTGACAGATAGTTTCAAGGAGAGACAGGCTTAATAAAGATCACATCATCTGGTGTTGAAATTCGTATCACTAAACGAATCAAAATTTATATCACCGCTTTTTACGATGGAAATGATCTCTTTCCCGTTTAACTGAAGTCAAAGTTTAACTGGAGTCTTGTAGAATTAATAAAACTTGTACCAAGTATATAATTAACCACAGCTAGGAAAAACCTTCCCCTTCCCACCAGTTATCCAAGACTTTTCCTATGTATTCACATACTGTAGTTCTCAAAGACTGTGTAAACCTCAGTCTCCCTTAACAAATATTACTCATAAGATATAAGCGATCCTTGCAACTATGAAAACTACTGAAATAGTAGTTGAAATGAGACTTGAAAGAAATTCAGGCCCGTACAGGATTTGAAATTTTTTACAGGCCTGAATTTTTTCATCATCACTCAGCAAAATTTACCTGTTAAGAATAGGTGTATCATAGCCAAGTTTAAGCTGCTTCAACTTGTAGCTGTAAGCAAATGAGAAAAACAGCTGCAGAAGACGAGGACCCTCTTTGACCTTCTCCATGACATTTTGCCTTATCCTATCCATGACTGTTGGAACTGCAGCCATTACAGTTGGTCTAAGAACTGATAAATCTCCTTTTGTTCCTTTCTTGATTTTAGATGACTACAGATAAAGAAATAAAATTTCAGCATAATAACAACCAAATTGTTTCAAACACCACCTAATAAGGCTTAAAAATAAGTTGAAATTTCTTGTCACAATTCGGTAATTTTCGTTCCATACCTTTCAAGGAAAGGTATCTGAAAATTAAGATACTCAATGAACAGAGAACTGAAATTTCAGAAAAAAAAATTCAAAGTTGTGGTTTTCTGTGTTTTTTGTTATCATTAAGATGCACTGCATTCCAAGTGCCTTGCAATTAGGAAGGAAAAAAGGAAACATAAATGATTTACCTGATCAGAAAGAGTGAGGGTAGTGGAATATCCTATAGAGGCCCCATGAGCAAGTACTGCATTTTCTACAATGTAAAAAAAGGATTAATGCCAACATCAGTCCTTGATCATTAACAACAAGTTTTGACTGTTTCCATAACAAAAAACATCACACAAAAAAACATAACAATAACAATAACAAACAAGTCAAAAGACAGAAATAAAGGGACTAAGCAAATCTCATCTTGCAGATGCACACAACATGTTGCATATTAGGTACAATAAATAACTTGTCTGTAATTATTACCTGCCAGTAGTTCTAGGACATGTGCTAATGGAAGATAACCAACATAGATATCTTTTTCACTGGGACAAATAAAATAAAATAAAATTCATTACACAACATAACAAACCATTTGCAAAAGGGCAAGCCAAGTTCATCCTACATTTTATCCTTTTTTACCTTGGAAAGAATCATACTCTGCATTTGAAACCTGAACTTTCTCATGCTTTATAGAAGCTTAATTGTCTTGTTCTGATCAATTTTACCAATCATCAAGTCACTATTAAACCAGTCCTGTAATAATACGATGAAGTAAAAACACCCTGGCCTTCAGTACCTCAAAGATGGCTGCACTCTACCAATAACACCAGCAATAGCAGCCATTAGTGCACTGTGAGGAATGATGACACCTACCAGAGAAAATAACCACATGCTCTGTTACCTTGATTCAATGTTGTCTGTGGCAACCATTTTTTTTTGTACATGTGAAAAAGGATGACTAAGTTACATAAAATACAATGTAACCTATAGATGCAAGATCGCATTAACATTCAAAATCACATTGGCAAATAACTTCTTGCCTGATAGCAGTACATTTACCACAAATATCTTTCACTGACAACTTAAAAGTAAAACTCAGGAAAACAAACAAATTATCATAAGGTCTTGACACTCAGTGTTTTCAATATAAATCTAATTAAATCTCTTCCATGTTATTTTTCATTATAACGTCTAAAATGAAAAGATGTTTTATAGTTCGGTATCAGCCCTGACAGCAAACCCACCTTTAGGAAGTCCTGTTGAACCACTTGTGTACATTATAACTGCAACATCACTAGGGCTCGGACCTTTCCTGATCATGGACGCTACGAGATAATGACAAATGTACAATCATCATTCTCAGTTGACAGGTAAGCCTTACAAATTATTTTAATACCATTCCTGCTGGTACCAAATTGGTGTTCCAGTCCCCCTCTATGTTTATAATTATTTCCTTACTGATGCTAAATAACGTTGCAGTGTTTAGAAAATGCAGAGTTCCTGTCAAATGCCTCAGAACCAAAACCATGTTTAGTTGCAATGATGAGTGAAAGAAATATTACATTTACACATACATACTCTGCATAACAGAGTATACTATACATGTCGCCAACTTTGCCTTAAGTTAACTAACTGTGAATAAAGTGAATTTGAAGTAGTATTAGCAAAGGTGTCAATAACAGCCTCTTATTGGCAGTCTAACACCACCTCTCACCACTGTCTGTTTAGCCTGCTAGCAGGGTCTTGTGTTTTGGTTTTGCCTTACGACACAGCCACCCATAACACCGCCAGCAGCCATATATGGAACAAGTTATTGAAACCTCTGTATTAGTGAGAAAGCCCATACTTCTGAGTTTTTTCCATTAACTAAAGGGATTAGATCTGCTTTGGCAAGTGAAACAGGCTGATTTTTGTTGCTCATTTCTTTTTGCCTAGGGACGAGGAATGGATGATGTCTTGCAAATTTTGTATCAATCACACCATCAACTTGTGAGTTGAGGCATGTATGAATAAAGAGTTGATGACCATCACAAGTGCTATTGTAGCAGTGCATATGGCATACATGTGATAAACATGCAATTTTTTCAGTCAAAAGTTTCATACTTACTGTCATCTTGTGACTCTCCAATCTCTTCCACTTCATGCATGGAGTGGACCTTTACTCTCCTGGAAAAACCTAGAAGGGCAGATTTCTTTACAACATTTCCAAGGTACACAATGTGCTCAACTTTGGGTAGCCTATCAATGAGAGCCGAGAGCTTGTGAAGCAGAGAAGCATCCGTGATGATAAATCTTACGTCTGTTTCGTTGATGCCATGGATGAGAGCTTCGTCCCCAAGTGTGGCATAAACTGTAACAACTGAAAATAAAGGATAAGGATGTAAAAGTTCATTATTAGCCCTTTCATTCTTAGGAGTGACTGGCATCTAACTTCTCTGTACAGTACAACTGCTGAATCAAACATTTAGGTTATAGAAAATAAAGGAAATGATCATCAACGAAGGAAGTTTTGATTGTAAAACAAGATCAGGTTTAAGTTTTTATCTTGATCTAACACCAAATTCTTCTAACTAACTTAAAAGTAAGCGTCTGGCAGCTGGAAAGGAGAATTAACAATCAGATCTTAGGTTTTAAAGGGTGAATCATCCTTACGTTTTTCCTTGGTGTTTGTCTACCCAAGCAAACCATTATAAACAAAGATTCCTTTCAATTTTCAACTACTCAGAAGGAAAAAACAAAATAAAGAGAGAAAGCTGTTTGAATGTTTACTTCAAGCGCTAAAAAATGGAGGAAAATGTAAAAAACCTACGTGGAAAATTTTGAGCAAAGCATCCCTGTGCAGCAATCATCCAGTCAGCCTTTGTTTCAGAAAATATCACAATATTTTCCCTGACTTGCTGCCCTAGAGCAGCCAATCCTTTTCCAAATGCTCTAGCTCTGACATCAACTTCAGCATAAGTCAGCCAGCTGTATTCACCACACACAAGTTTCTTGAACAGACGTCCATTTGGTTGCATCTCATCTTCTTCCTTGATTATTTCTCGTGTTCCAAGACATTTTCTGTATGGATATAAGTTTACAGCTCGCCTGAAAGACAAAAAGTCCATATATGAGTTCAGTGCTTTTAGATACAATGATAGTACAGAATTTCTTGCTTCCATCCTCCACCATTAGAGGCAATATATCTCCCAGCTTTAGACAAAAAAAAAAATTATAAGCATTTAACTAGCCATGTGCCCAATCATCTAAGTTTCAATATCTACAAAACTATGCCTTATACAAACAACCAAATTTTCTGTTTTTTTTTTCTTCAATAATTTACACAAAAAGCTCATTTCTCTAAGCAGTTCAACTCTATACCTATTTCATGGAAACTTGCAAGAAAAAGGTTTCTTTAGTTTGTCATTAAAATAATAATCTCTTTAAGAAGCTACTTAGCAAAAACCAAGAATTATCTGGGAATTCACCTGAAATAGTCACTAAATCATGTGGAAAAAGTAGGAAAATTCTGGAAAATTGACTTATACTGGTAAGGCCTGTTTGACAACACTCTTCAATATATAAAGGTGGCTAGAGTCCAACACCACAGTTACAGATACAATAGACTTCTTAAATGACACATTTGGCCTCGAATGAAGACTTCAAGAGGTTTTAATTCCAAAACAAAACAAACAAAGTGACACATTGAGTTTCTAAGTCAAATTCCAATGTTAAGTTCAAACTTGTGGATACAACTCACTAAATTATCGAAACATGCATGCCGCACGTGAATACAAACAAAGACACTAACGGGGGAGAGGAGAAGACACCATGCGCTAGACATGGTGCTATCTTCGTGTTTAAACCGCCTCTGACAGGAGCTGATGCCCCTAGACCTCCTCAAACTTCATGGCTAACGATTAGAATTACCTGAACATATTGGTCGGAAAGCTTAAAATTTTTGACAAATTTAAAATGACCATCTTAGGAATGGATTACATGGTTAAGTTTTTAGAGTGTAAATTATCTTCCTTAAATAACTACAGTTTTTATTAGTTTTTAATTATATAAACACCTTTTCTCCTATATTTATTTGTTGAGAAAACCCATCCATAAATTAACGAAGTGGGAATCCTAAATTAAGATTTAACGTAGTGTTGATGTTAGAGGATAAGATTGTTTGAAATTTTACATTTACAAAGCCTTCAGTAAATTACAACACTCCTCTCTCAGTGATTGTCACTTTGAATTCCAGAAAACATATACTATGTCCTTATGCACAGGGTTTTCAGTAAGAATTGCACCAGCAGGAGAATATCGTAAATTGACAAGAGAATATCCTCATGTCGGAATAAAGAATAGCCCAACTATTCAAATTTAGCAAAAGTATTCTGCAGATTATCAAGAGAATTCTCCAATCCTTTATGCTTTTAGTATGGAGAAACATGATCCTGATAGAAATATGACCAGACTAATGCTTTCTTGATCTCACCACAAATCTTTACTCATCTAATTAAAAAGGAAAAGTGTGGCAACTCAAAGAGAATCTATATATGACACAATCATGGGAGTTTAGTAGTTTTCTGGCTAGAGAGTATAGTATTTGATGACAGCCAAAATTGACAGTTACATGGAACAAATTACGGAAGGTTAATATCTAGATTGCATGTGATGAAAGCAAAACTGTATTGTATGCCAGTCACATTGGAGGGAATTTTTGTGGGCCACATTGCAATATATTTGTATCACAAGATAGAGTAAAAGGAAAACCTTGCAATGAGCTTTGAAAGGACTAGAAAGTTCTATGAAGCTTTCAAACTTCAAACATGTAGACAACAAGCACATTGCTGTTTCTTGGTCAGCTTATCATTTACAAAGATAATTCCTTAATATTTCCCAGCTGAAGGATTATAGGATAAATGATTTATTTTGAGTAAGTCCCAGACAAATTAACAATCAACAGGAATTTGTCTCAGTTTTTAATGCTTTGCAGTCTTAACAGTTCGCCATTGACAACAAATGATTTACTTAACATTGCCAACCCAGGGGATGAAAGATGAATAATTTGGCGTGAATGACTTACAGCGAAATGTTGAAATCTTGTACACAACCACGGATATTGTGTCTGGTAAATCATGCGAGATCTCCGTAAGTCTGAGAAATGATATTCTTATAAATCTTCAGAGAAAGATCTCTTCTCGTTTCTTTCTATACAAGTGCAGTCATGGATACAATAATTTTGAATTTTCCACAGGGAATTAACTTCCTATCCCCATACGTGGTTAAGTGCTTTTCCAACAAATCCAGTCCTTAAATTTAAAACTCGACAAGACAAGACTAATTAAAATTGGTATATCCGACCCCACCGACTCGCAAAACAGCTTAAATTTGTTTTGTTCTAGTATCGCGATACTTAAAAGGAATATCAATATCATAAGACAAATGGCAAAGTAAATATCTTGGCACAATGTTCGTAACAAAAAAATCACACAAAAAAACACACTTGACTTGGGCATGCAACAGCCTAGGATTTGTCCATGCTACGTGTTTTATGCCTGTTACCGAAACACTATGAACACACGATGTCGACAAAATGTAAAAATAACCTTTGATCTTTGATCAATATAGTTAGAATCTACGGTAACCTTGAATGGCCTTGCTAGGTGTACTATGTACCAAGTGATAGAGGCCATGAGAAATTAACATCAGACATAGACATTCAAGTTCCAAAACTCGAAAATTAACTCGAAACAGGTTTCAGTTCTCAAGAAAAATTGTAATTTTCGAGACACATAAAATTTCAAGATACATCGTTTCAAAACCGCGGTACAAAATGTTGACCTATTGAACTGAAATCTAAAACCTCTGCCATGCTTTTGGTCGCATGTATTTACATCGAACGGAAAATTTTGTTTTTACAATACTGAGCCATCGTAATTTACACTCATACTCGACAATTTCAGGCTCGCGTAACACAAATTACATTTTTTTCCTCGCAAATACAATTCAAATCAAAACTTCGAATTGATACTCACTTGAACATCTGATCCAAAGTTGTGACACCATCGTAGAGAGAAGTCTTCAAAGAGCTGAGATGTTCTACACATCGATATGGTCCACCGGGACAATCTTTAACTGGTAAAGCTTGTACATTATGTTTGGGTCGATACTGCTTTCTACCGACAAAATAATACCACGGTAAAAAGCTCACAATACCCCACAACCAACCGGCAACGTTAAGGCCGAAGAGAAACACCTTCTCTACCAAAGAGGTTTCCATACTACTCATGTAGTGTCAACAGAGTGTGATCATTAATAAGAAGATGTACGTTGTAATCGTACAAAGTCCACGCGACTTTTGCAACCCGCCGTTAGCATGCGCGCGCATTTCACTAATCACTCCACTTTTTTACGCCGTCCAAATCCCAAACCCAGACAGAATTTTCACGACTCAACACGCCTGCGGCAATGTTTCATCTATTTTTAGCCTTGTAATGTTCTGAAAAAAGGGGTTTGTAAGAGTTCAGTGGAAGCGAACACGTCAGTGAGTGAACGATTCCTCGATCTTTGATCAAGGTCGCTAAAGGACTGTGACGTCATAAATAAGTTTGTTCCGGCAGGATCCGGCTGTTACGGCTAACACTTCAAGAGCAGGGGGAGGGTAAACAATTTTGTCAGCGAGGGTGTTACGACTGTAGTGGCTATTCTAATAAAATTTTGATATTTTTTAGGCAAGGATTTTTTCTCTCCCTTACTATGTCTCTCCCCGTTTTCAAGATACACGGCACGTGCGTGCGAGAATCGTGAAACATGAACTGTATAATGTGGGATAATTACTCTCCCACTTAATAAATCCACTTAATAAATTGGTATGCCATCGTATTTCCATTGTTTTATTTTTTTCGGTATGGAAGGGCGAACTTCCGTACCGAAAAAATATAAAAATGGAAATACGATGGCATAACAATTTATTAAGCGGAAGAGTGATTATCCCACACGATACAGTTCATTTAAATCATGCCCTAAATCTTGCAACATGACGAAATCAGACAATGAAGTCAATCCACAACTGAAAGCGAAGTCCATTCATCCGTTTGGAGAGAGGACGAATCAGAGCTTTCTCACATGATTTTGGGCCTGATGGAAGTCCAAGTCCAGCGCGTGTCCTTCATCCGCCATCTTGATCTTGTCTCTTGGGGTTTTTAAACATTGATTACCGGGATGAAGTGGATTCAATCTTTGACAGGTATTTTCTTACTAGTGCTAGACAAGTGCTCGGCTCGATTTCCATCCCTCTCTGGTGTCCGGTCTTTGCTCCTCTCCGGGTTCGGGGGCAGGGGTAGGGGAGGAGCGCGGGCTCATATTCCAGAACAGCGGCCGATTATCGAGCCTAGACAAGTGCTATACTAGTAAGAAATTCAGCGTACGCACTTAAAACAATTTTACTTGTAGTCGCCGATGAAGCATTCGAATTTTCGACTCCTTGCATAGACAAATCAGCAAAAAGAACAGCATACGCCAGCAGCTAATTTCTCTGCGCGTCTCATAAGAGTTCTTTTAATAGTCACGCTTGAAATTTTTTCATCAGTACGAGAAATATGATGCGCTGAATAAGAAAACCCTTCCAAAGACTAACAAATGAATGATTAACAAGCAAATTATAGCGTTTCACAGATTTCACGACAAAAAAGAGAAAACCTTCCTTAAATTGAACTTCAGTAAATTCGGTACGTTGGAGAAAGTTTCGAAGAAATCACAGCCTAATTAAGCGACACCTTGTGATAGAGTCTCTCTGTTGAGAATGATCCGTTGACCTCTCCACTTAAGTCTGGAGACATGTGTGTGGACGGGGTCTAATTATAAACCAGAATCTAAAGGGAGAACCATTGGAACCAGGGTGGAGGGAAATCTTCGACAAACGGAAACAGTCACGCCTCAAGATGTCTCTCGGGAGGGTGCTGTCACGGTGGTTTAATCTTTTGTTTATTAGTATTGTTACCATTATTCTTATTATTTCCTCCATTTCAACAATCACAACCTTTGAATAATTACAACAAGATAAAGAAAATGGCGAAGGACATAATATAGCAAGCTAATCAGGTATTCCCCTAGTCTCTAGTCTTGCACCCAGACCTCTCACGGCTACGAGGTTGTAAGCTCTCCAACACTTGGGGCCCTACATTGAACGGTTACATCCTGAAAATAGAAAGAATAGAAAAGATATTCGTCGATAAGTTAAAATTCTTAACTTTAATTTATCCAACAAACAAACGCATAGTGAAAATAATTTTGGAATGATTTTATATGTTAGAGGAGTTAAGAAAAAGAGAACGAAATTTAGAGGTAAGAGGCTATAAGGAGGTCCGTACTATAAGTCAAAGACTGAGTTTTTTTCTACTCTGATTTATGGTGCGAACTGCGCGGGCCTCAATGCCGAGCGCAAAAAAAAAAAAAAACAAGCTCCCTAATTTATAGTATGGACAGAGAGAATGAAGTCAGTAAGACATTAATTATAAAGAAGGGGAAATTATTTTTTATTCCAACGATCGACCGTTTCTTATCGTTTCTGCTCAGATGATTGGTCGATAAATATTTACTTCTTAATTTTAACAAAAAGGGATTTATTTACTTATTTGGTTCAGTTCTGAACGAGAAAAAATTGAGAAAGATAGTCCACCATACGGGTCTTAAGAAAATGTGGATTTACCTTTGAGACAAATCGGCCATTTCTAATAGTGTTCTCTAAACTTTCCCGAACTAAATCTCAGAAGTACACGTGATTAGTTATCTGTTCGAAGCTGATAAATGCAATGAATAACCGCAGGAAAGAATTTCGAAAAGCTCACGTTATTCTTCCATGCAGAGCAAAGTAGAGAACTGTGGGTCGGGTACGTACGTTTATATCTGTTGATATTGTGGAACTGCACCATCGGAGCAAGCAGAAATAAATAAATTAAAAGTTAAGATGACAAGTATTCGTTAAATTCACCGGAGCAAAGTCGATAAGTAATATAAAAGTTTGTTTAGGTTCTCTAAGCGGAGGGAAGATCGGCAATCAGAATGCACAATGCAATACATTGCATTGAAACGCATCTTAGTTCTATGTACTTACTTTAATTGATAAACATAATTAGTCAGAACACCGCCAATACCATCTTTACAATTGCTATCTTCCGCTACTTCGTAGGTATTGTAAGCCTCCCCTAATGTTTTGTCCGTCCAGCACTCGCCATTGTTTTGCAAAGCAAAGTATTCGATCATCTTGTCACGTGCGACGTATGCACATTGCAGGATTGTATACCCGGGATCGTCATCATTTCGTTGAGCCACGAAGGTCGCAAATTTATCTTTGAGAAGCCTCTTAGAGCCTTTGTTCTCCTTGAAACAGCCAATTGCATTAGGCGTTGGCTTTGACTCTGGAAAAAAAAAATGGGAAGTTGATAGTCTCTGTTGTGCCAGTTTTCATTCGTCATTAACTAAGGAGCATTTCAGCTTAAGAAGTGTTCTAGAGGAAAGTGATTTTAGAGGGCAGGCCGCTATCATCCTAGCTGCAATTCACCACTTTTATAATTTTAATTTTTGTCATCTTAACAACATAATATATAGATTTAGCCAAGCCTAAAAGCGGAGCTTGCATTTTTTGCCAGGTACTCTTTTATAATTATGGGGCTACGCTCTGTGAGCTCCGCTATTACAACTGGACCAGACTTGCGTCTCCTTCAACCTTTCCCGACGGTAACCCAGAGCCAATGTTATAGCCAAGTAATACCGAGGGTCAATGAAGAAACATATGTCACAAGCTAGCTACTCAGATTGTTGTGTTATTCATTCGCTTTCACTTTAAACTCACCAAATGTATACACTTGGATGGAAAATTTTATTCCTATACCATTCTTGCAATCTTTGGCAGCAGCGGGCCCTTTCGCGTAGTAATTGTTTTTAGCAGTGCTACTGGACAAGCACTTTCCCTTATCGCCCAGTGCGAAATGGCTGTAACCTTTATCAAATGCAAGCTCTGCACACTCCAGAATGTAACTATTGAAGTTTGCTGGATCATAGTCTTTGTTAGGATATGCAAGAACTTCTTTAAAACCAGTCTTCGGTATCTTGAAACAGCCAATATTATTGAAAGATGGTACTAGGATAAAAACAAAACGAACGTGAAGCGAAAAGGCTGTTCTTTTTTACATATGTTCACTAAAACAGATTTAAATTACTCAACAAGTCGCTAAATTGTATGTTATGTTTGAGAGACTTAGGGCGAGGTGGCTAGCTTTATAGCTTTAAGACATTTTAATTTTCTCTCACTGATAACTTCTAAACTGTGCTCACCACTAACTAATTTAACTAGCTGCACATTTAACAGTTCCTTTTTTGCCTTTTAAGTCAAAGTATTTAATGTCAAAGTACGATTTTTCAGGACTGGAATGGAGTATTGGAAAAGTGATGGGGGGAGGGGTGGAGAATTGGGGATTTTGGAGATGCAGAAAAAAATATGGCTTGTATTTCTAAGGAGGAAAACCGCTTTTTTTCTCTTTATGCACCTTTTTTGTTGTCTTTTTTCCCCATTTTTCTAGTAGTCTGTCCCTCGTATTTTCTCAGATCTTTCAGCGAACGCTCTCTAGACAGGTTGACATCGTTGGAGAATTTTTACCTTACAGTATAGATCTATGTAGTATGAACTGCCCTTTTTTCTACCATGTACAGAGAAAGACGTCAAATGGATAAATGCTTTATTACATACACTTTTCAAGTATTTTGTTTCGATCACTAACCTTGACAATTGACTCCACTAAAGTCGCCTGTGCAATCACAGTGGTATTCTGTGATGTCTTCTTTATCGTTACGGCAAGCTGCTCCATTTACACATGGATCGCTATCACACGGATAGGACTGAACTGAAATCATCAAAACATAGCAACATGTTGGAATCTCTCGTAGCTTAAACCCCTTGAATAATGCTCGGTGAACCGATCACAATGAAAAGTCTCTTCTTTGATTGACACTAACCTTCACAATTCTTCCCACTGAACATTTGCTGACATTCACACGAGTACTGCATAGGATCATCTTTTTCCACCACACAAAATCCATTGTTCTGACAAGGATCATCATCACAACCAGTTGGATATGAATACGAGGCT